CGCGGGGGAGGCCGCGCGGGAGACGGGCCCGGCGGGGGGGTGGGGCAGCGGGGGCCCCGGGCCTGAGGAGCGCACGCCCGGGCTCCGAGGGGTCCTGGGCTGAGGGACCCCGCCTGGACGCACTGGGGTGTCTGAGGCCTGAGCGGCCCCCGGGGTGGGGGTCTGGGGCGTCCCAGGCCTGGGGGAATCCATGGGCGAGAGATTGGGGGTCGGAAGGGTTCACGGACTGGTTCTGGGGTCTGAGGGACCCTCACCGGCCGGGACACTGGGGGATCCCGGACCTGGGAGGCCCGTGGGTTAGGGGATCTGGGGGGTCTGTGCACACTGGGGCTCTGGGGGGCTCTGGGTTAGGGGGTCTGGGGGACCCGTGCACACTGGGGCTCTGGGGGGCTCTGGGTTAGGGGTTTTGGGGGACTTGTGCACACGGGCTCTGGGGGGACCTGGGTTAGGGGCTCTGGGGTGCCCTGGGTTAGGGGCTCTGGGGTGCCCTGGGTTAGGGGCTCTGGGGGACCTGTGCACACTGGGGCTCTGGGGGGGCCCTTGGTTAGGGGCTCTGGGGGAGCTGTGCACACTGGGGTTCTGGGTTAGGGGCTCTGGAAGACGGGTATCTGGGGGGCCCTGGATTATGGGGTCTGGGAGACCTGTGCACACTGGGGCTTGGCGGGCTCTGGGTTATGGGGTCTGGGGGGCCTTGGTTGGGGCTCTGGGGGAGCTGTGCACACTGGAGTTCTGGGTTAGGGGCTCTGGAAGACCTGGGTTAGGGGCTCTGGGGGGCCCTGGGCTAGCGGGACTCATGGGCTAGGGGTTCTGGGGTTCTGGTTAGGGGCTCTGGGGGACCTGTGCACACTGGGGCTCTGGGGGGGCCCTTGGTTAGGGGCTCTGGGGGAGCTGTGCACACTGGGGTTCTGGGTTAGGGGCTCTGGAAGACCTGGGTTAGGGGCTCTGGGGGGCCCTGGGCCTGAGGGACTCATGGGCTAGGGGTTCTGGGGTTCTGGGGGGTTCCCCGGCCTAAGGATCAGTGCAGACGGGCTCTGATGGATCCTGGGTCTGAGAGACCTGTGCAGGATGGGTTCCTGGGGGGTGTCCAGGGCTTGATGGACACAGGAAGTGGGGAATTGGAGAGTTGAAGAGAGGGGTCCCAGGCAGAGAAGCCGAGTTCTGAGGGGCTGGGTCTGGGGGAGGCAGGAATGGGGAAGGGCTCCCGGTCAAGGCCAAGGGGAGCTGCAGGCCGGCTGCTGAGGGGCCAGAGTGGAAATGGGGCTGGGGGAACCGGGTCTCTGTGAGCTTGGTCCGAATAAAGCTTGTTGTGGGACCTGCCCACCAGGAAGAGGCTAAGGAAGTTGGCTGGGGGGGCGGGGGGTGCTTGGTGGTCCCCCTGGTGCTTGCTCAGCCTCAGGCCTCTGTTGAGGGCATCTGGGGAGGGACTTGGGGATCCCCTTGGAGGAAGCTGGGTCCTGAGGGCATCCTCAGCCCTGAGTCCCAGGGGGCAGGTGGTGGAGTTGGAGGCCAGTGGGGAGCAAGGACCCAGGGCACCCCGAGGCAGTTCTCATGCCCAGGGCCCCGGGTGGGATCTGCTGGTTCTTGGGGTGAAAGGCGAGGGCAGCAGGAGGCCAGGCAGGGGGTGGCTGGAGCAGGCTCAGCCTGCAGGTGGCTCAGGGGACAAGAGCGGTAGCCTGAGAGCCCTGGAGTGCCGGGGCCTCTGAGGTGGGGTGGGTCCTGGGCAAGGCCAGGAGCAGGGCTCTGAGCGTGGCCTCGGTCCTGGGCGTGGCCGAGCTCAGGATGTTCTGGAGGAGAGAGGTGCTCGGCCTCCGTGGCCCTGGCTGAGCCCAGGAGCCAAGGACCTTCACAAAGTAGCTTGGGGCCACCGAGCCAGAAGGAAGCCGGCCCGGGCGGGGGGACCCCAGCCGCTGCCCTGCAGCCAGCAGAGTCCACAGGAGAGGGGCTCCCTGGTCCCGGTGAGCCCACTGTACCCACCCTGCTCCCGCTTATCTTCCTGGGGGGCCGGCCGGGAACTTGCACACAGCCCCTCTGCGCTCCTCTGCCCTGAGCACTGGTCCCTCCCCGGCCCCCTCCTCCACCCTCGGAGCCTGATCGGTTCCAGGCACCTGATTGGAAGTGAAGGGGATGCTGGCCTCCTGTGGGGGGTGACTGACAGCTGCCGGAGCCCATGGGCCTGCAGGGAGTGGGTGGGACTTCCTGGATGCTCAGGGCCGTCTCCTGCAGCCCACCCCCATCCTCTGCATCCTTGGAGCTGCCAGCAGCATCCTCTGGGAGCCCACCCGCAGGTCGCCTCTTTGTAGGAGGGGTCCTGGGGGAGGGCCCTGGGGGTTCCTAGCGGCCAAGCGCCCCACCCCTGCCGGCTTAGAGGGCCAGTTTGGCTTTGCTCAGGTGAGGCACCTGCCAGGGCCAGCCCTCCGACAGGAGAGAGAGCACCCGGTGGGGGGACAGGCTTGCATGGGGGGTGCACAGAAGAGTGCAGGTCCCAGTGTGGAGGGGGTACGGATCTCTGACTCGAGGGCTCCCCTCCTCCCAGCATGCTTTTCCCCACGTAACTTGGCTGTCCTGGGGATTTTCCGGGTCAGTGGGTGAAGCTGCCCCTACCCCACCTGCCCCAGCCCCCTCTGACCGGCCTCTCGCTGCAGATCGACGACATCGCCGACGGTGCCGTGAAGCCCCCACCCAACAAGTACCCCATCTTCTTCTTTGGTACTCACGAGACGTAAGTGTCCCGGGCCGGGCTCGGTGCGCCTGGTGCCTTCCAGGCTGGCCTCGCTCACGGGGACCTGTGCTTCTTTCCTGCAGAGCCTTTCTGGGACACAAAGACCTGTTCCCTTACGACAAATACAAAGATAAATACGGGAAGCCCAACAAGAGGAAAGGGTTCAATGAGGGACTGTGGGAGATCCAGAACAACCCGCATGCCAGCTACAGCGCCCCTCCGGTGAGTGCCCAGGCCAGGTGGGGCTGCGTCCGGTGCAGGCTGCAGGTGGCCTCCGGCTTGTCTCGTGGGAACCGAAGAGGCCTCTAGGATGGGGTCCTTCCCCTGGGCTCCGTGGTCACCATCCTGGCCACTGCAGGGTGCTGGACAGCATCCCTGACTCCACCCACTCCCCGCTGGGAGCACCCCCAGTCCTGTCAACCACGATGTCCCCAGACTTAGCCCAGTGTCCCTTGGGCACAGAATCTACCCAGGTGAGATACCCCCAGGTTAGGAGACGCCATAAACCTCCAGAGACCCTGCATCCCCTCATCCTCTGCCCTCACGTTGAAATCCACACCCTGAGTGGGAGGGAGAGGGCGGTGAGTCCCAGAAGCTGGGGTTCCTCTGCCCATCAGGAGTTAGTTCTGGTGCCAGAGCAGCGAGCAGACTCGATTACTTTCCGATAAGCAAAGCAGGAATTGTTGCCTTCGGCCGTGCCATTCCGGACCAGCTCGTTCCCTGCAGTGGGTCTGCGGGGTGCCGTAGGGTGTGGAGCACCACTCCTGGCCCCAGCCCAGTCCCCCTTCATTCGGGACAGCCACAGTGTCCCGGCGTGGCCGGCCCCGGTCTGGGGGTGCAGACCCTGGTGAGAGCCGACGCTCCGATCAGGCCGGGTTATAACAGCATGTTCTAGCTCTCGCAGGCGTGTGGTTTCTAAGGCGAGGGCCGGATTTTAGGCTGCTGGGGGAGTGGCGGAGCTTCGCAGGTGTCAGGTGAACGGCTGTCAGGAACCGTACAGGCGACACCTCGGCGGCTCACGGGCTTAGAAGTGCTGGGGAAGGGAGAGCTTTAGGAAGGTGGGAGCCGGAGTGCTAGGAGGCTGTGGAGGGCGGGAGGGCCGGCTGGGGTGGGGCCGGGGAGCTGTTCTGGGGTCACTCTGCTTTTCTCAGACTTGCCAGAGGGCACGTGCATTCTGGGGGGGTGGAGAAAGAGGAGGGAAAGTGAACGGCGTCCCCCTTGGGCTGCGGCCACGCTGCCATCCCGCCTAGTCCCCTTCTTCCTGTTGGGATTGAGGGCATCCGTGCACATGTGCCCGGCGTGCTTTTCAGGCCACGGGGGCCGGCTGCCTTGACCGTCACACCACCAGCTGGCCCCCTGCTCTGTGTCTTCGCTGTAGGGCACATGTGCTCACCACGGGGTGGGGGGATGGACGGATGAACGTAAGAAACCGCCTCCCCAAGGATAACCGCGGTGCAGCCCCCTCCCTGTGCCCCGAGGACTTTGGGCAGGCACCTGCATCCGGCGTGTCTCCAGGCTGCCAGGTCTGGGACCTGGACACACATTCAGTCATGTGGGATTCAGCTACCCTAACCTCTGCCACTCGCTGGCCCTCCACTCTGCTTTTTCTTTTTCCCTATTATTCACCTTTATTAATTTTATTGTTGCTTATTTTAACTTGACCAGAGAGGGACAGAGTGCGAGAGAGAGAAAGCGAGAAAGCAAGCCACTGGGTCCGGGACTCAAACCATGGTCAGCCATGTGGGAGTCCGGGGGCCTTAACCGCCATGCCACCTGCCGGCTGCCCCCACTTTGCTTTTAAACACAGGTTTATGTTGGGGGGTCGGGTCACCTGGGCTTTGCAGGGTGGGCCTGACTTGGTGGAGAGGCCAGGAGACGTGACCAGTGTGTCTTTGGGCTGCTGGTCGGGGAGAGCTTGGCTGTTGGGATGCAGAGGCCATGGGGGCGGTGTGAGGAGGGCGGGCATGCGGGGTCGGGCCCAGCCTTTGGTTCCGTGAGCGGAGAATGGAGTGGCTTTGCCATGCCTGGTCTCACTGGAGCTTTTGGGGCCTGGAGGTGGGCCACCTGTGCCATGGCTTTTTCACAGCCCAGGCCGGCTGCTGCTTTTTTTTTTTTTTTTTTAATTT